GGAAAGACCTTTTTAAAAAAAAAACCAAAAAAAAAAAAAAAAAAAAAAAAAAATCCACCCCGCTCTCCTCTCCCCATCTTCCCCCCAAAAGAAAACCACACCGAAAGGATAAAGAGAAGAAACAATATATTTTTCTTCATATTCTGCGTTCGCCGGGAATCGAACCCGGGGCCCATCGAAGTTGAATGAATGAATTCATTGGCAACGATGGATTTTACCACTAAACCACAAACGCGTTTGATTTGTTATAGCTCTCTTTACAACGGTATACGAAGGGAAAGTTGGAGGCTTGCAAAACAAAATGTCCTGGGAGCTGCGAAGAATTGGTCTACTGTTCTCTGGGACGAGGAGGAATATTATGCACAAGAAAAAGATTTTAAATCAGCGTAGAATGCAAAGATTATGCACAAGACATCAAGTAGCTGAGATATAACCAGGTTTTAGAAGAGACAACGTCTCCAAAGTGCCGAGAATGGCGATGGAACGATCATACGAGTTATAGCCTACCAAAGGACTTCACTCGTACAGTATGTGGGAAGAAAAGTCGATTGCGCTCACGATCAATCCCTTGTGCAGCAGCTCTCCTGTTTGGCATGCAAGGGCGCCCCCAAATTGATGGCAGCTGCAAAGATCATTAGTCGAGGGGTATACGCCGTGACAACCTTGTCTCTGATATCCGCAACTATCATATTTTGACATCCGGAACCGCACTCCTAGCAGTTGCTTGGGATCGTGTTTTTGAGTCTATATTATTGGGCACATGTCTCGCACTCGCTATGACTGCCAAAGGAAGAAGGGAGAGAGAGGGAGCGAAAATAAAAAGCAGAAAGAGGAACACAAATCAGAAACGAGGTGTATATTTGTGCTCGACGGACAATGTAAACCGCAGATCGTCAGGAATTAAATGCGAATATCCAGGGACCCTATACATATCCCCGCCTTGCCTCTTCGACGTAGGCCCTGTGCACAAGTTTACATACTACGCTCTGATCGATGCTCTAGTCTCAGCAACCTTGAGTTCCGACACCTCGAAGTATAAATAGACCTCATTAGCATACAAAACCCTCCGTCAAAAAATAGGCGGTGCATATGTGATCTAGCCACATAAGCTCAACTCGGAGAAGGTTGATTCATAACCGGGCTGATTGAGTTGAAGCCTTCATCCCTGTCAGAGGAAGTACTCATCGTGAGGCTTCATGAAAAAAAAGGTGCTATATTTCCTGAGACATATTGGACATGTCTGCTGGGTAAGTCACAGAGTGAGATGACTGGGTCATTTTCACCCTATGGTTGCAAATGTGGCAGCTGACAACAGCTAGAAACCCCCAGCCACGAGTGCTTTCTCTTGCAGGCTCCTGAGCCACTTTCTGAGAGCCGTCGAATATTGTTTCGAAACTTGTCGGATAACAACCGGCTTGCCTTTTCTTGACCAGACTTGACGCGTGAATCCTGTTATCAATTAGTTTTGCATTGTTTGAATTGGAGTACTTCGTGCCACCTACCTTTTCTAGAGGGATAGAGATTTGGTAGGTCTCTCTGTAGCCAGTCCGTGATGTTTAGATTGGGGCAAATATCATTCCAAACTCCAGCCTGAAACCTGAAGCTTGAGAGATTGAATTCCGATATATGACTTCGGGGGGTACAGGAATACTGTATCCGCCCCAAGCTTCAAGCGCTAGTGTAATGGTTTGTCACCAGCAGAGCATCCAGGATGCCCCTTTTAAGCCTCCCGACCTTTTCATCCTTCTCCCTAATCTGTTGTTGGAGATCCAAGTATCGCTGCTTCCATGATATCTCCGTATTTTCGTGCCCATTGTCTAGAGCCTTCGGTGTGCTATCCCGTTGCACGGTTGCTCTGATAGTAAAGTTGCCCTCAATAGATCCAAATTTCATCTTCCAATGACACTCATAACCAGTTTTCATGCCACACTCAAGCCTAGTCATTCGCAGCCGTGTCATCAAAGGCCCGCCTGCAAGGGCCGAGAGATTGATCAAGAATGCCTCTGTGCTGCTGGACTCGGATTGCAAATTCTTGATCACCTGCTTACAGATCTTATCTGCCTCATCAATGCTACATCGCTCAATGCTGGCTCCTCTGGCATCGTACCAATCTGCACCAAGAATTTCGGAGATGAAATGCCTCTCTAATGCATCGATATTCGTACGATCTGCTACCTCATTTTGGCGGAAGGCAATGCTCACGAAGTGGTTAAAACCCGAGTCTGGATCTCCAGTTGATGGAGTGTTGAAATATTCCATCATGGGCGCGAAATTCTGCACCTGATTTGCAGGATCATTCTGCATGCCCGTACCATCTTCGCTATTTGATAGTACAGCTGCTGGAGGTGTTGCCAGCCTCACAGAGCCGCCCTGTCGTTGTGGGACCTGGAGATGCAAGCGGTTTGGCCTTCCATTATGTCCGGGCGGATCTGGAGGATTGGGTGTGCTGGTGCTCATTTCGGTAGGGAAGAAATGCGGAGTATTCGAGTTGCTCACGATGGGAGTAGCCGTTGGGGTATTGTCCCGGAGATTAATGGTTGGTACATCCCTGCTGCCTGGATTGGCAGGAAAAGTCGAAAAAGGACCATCTGTTACTGATCGATTACTTGGGGGTCGACCTCGAAGTTTCCCAGAGGCGGCTCCACCACTGCTAGGCCACGCTGATGAGACCGCTGGTCCATGTCGACGTCGTGACCGGGGTTTATTAGGGGTTATAGCGGAACGAGACCCATCATTCCAAAGGTTGGTTCTGTTAAGGGACGGTGTAATGGCCGACCGAGGATAAGCCGACATAGGAGTCTGAGCATCTTCTGGGTGAGCCCAGCGGAAACTGTCTGGTAATTGCGGTGCTCTGACCTCTGTTGCTGACCAAGGGACTATTCTGTCATCAAAAGCTTGATGGAACCCAAGATGGGACGTCCCATGGGCACCATTTTCCGGAATGAGCGAAGCTCTAGCAATCATGAAATCTTCGGACAGTGTTGGAGAATCCAGCCTGCGGCGTTGAGAAGGCGATCTTCCTGCATCGCTATCATTGTCCCTGTCCTCGGCTTTGCGCCGCCCCCGTTTTGGTCTTGTTTCCGGTAGCAGTGCTCGTAAGGCTAAGTCCTCCTCAGGAGCAACTCCATCCCTACCAAATTCTGAAGCCGGCTCGTTGACAGACGGAACTTGGGCCCAGTAGACGTGGGGTTTGTTCAAAAGATACTCAAAAAAGGCATCCACGTGCATAGCATGCATCCATCGCTGTAAAATTTTAGCTTGAATCAAGCCTTGATAGTCAAAGATTTGGCAAGAGATGATTTGACTGTGGAAGAGAGTCTCTTCACGGACAGGCTTTGATAATTGACGCATTATCACTGCTGACAGAGATTAATGACTGAAGGTAAAGATCACTGACCTTGAGTCTCACAGCGTACTGCTGGACTTTCTGGGCACTTTGGCCTTTGTCCAAGGCTGGTGGCTCCACACCTAGATCAATTGCCAGCTGTGCCCAAGTCTTAATCTCCTTTTGTTCCAGCTTTCGGATCAATTCAAACAACGTGAAGGTGCTGAATGTGTTGCCATCGCTCTTAGGCGGAGCTCGAAATGTCTTCCTCAGCTCCGTTGTATCTGTATCCAAAGCAATGGTAGGATTGCAATACATGATAAAACTCACGTACGCATCGTCGAAATTCTCGTCCGTAACTGCACGAGTCGGTAGGCTTCGACGTCCTTGATGCGATGAATCAGAGGTTGGCACATCAGACATGCTGGATCCCGCGGTCTGTAACTGCTGGAGAGTATCTAAATTTGTATTTTGATGGTGGATCTGGCTGTCATCGAGGGCCTGAGTCTGATGGAATGTTTGATCCAGCCGACGTTTTGAAGCTTCGGGTATCATGGCAGGAGAAATTGGGATGACAGGAGGCATGATGAGCCATAGAGCCAGCAATACAAGGAAAATTAGAACAGCAACAGACAGGCAATGGAAAGCCTCCTCTTCAGAATTACAGAATAATGGAATTGAACTGGAAAATACAGAGATTGAAAGCAGGACTAAAACCACGTGTCTTCCTTGAAGTGACTTTGACTTGACTTGACCCAATGCGACGCTTGACAGAGACAGCTAGCAATAATAAGATACAGTAATTGGAAAAGCGAACGCAGTATGAGATAGTTGAGGGGAAAAGGGGGGGAAGCGTGGAATTTGGGGCTAATTGAGGGTCATTTTACCCAATTTTTGCGGAGGTGGAGGTGGAGGTGGAGGTGGAGACTTGACTCTCTAAAATCTCCGCGGCTCGTTAAAGAGATGGATGCCTCAGGCTACACAGCAGCCCGAGTCGTCATAACAGCATGTTTTTCACGTGATGCACTTTCCCACCTGCAACCGCATGGGGAGTGAGCTGTCTACCTCGGCAGCCGACGACACGGGCATTTCGACTCTCCTTTCTTCACTTCTTCATTTCCTTCTTCTTCACGCCCACCGGTTTCTTCAGCCGTTTAATTAAATGACCTTTGCAGGGCCGATTCGAAACTCCATCTTGTTGAAAGCAGAAAATCCCCGAATTCCATAACCATGGCTTCATCAGACGCAGCGCAACATGCCATCGCTGGCGCTGGCGGGGGCATCTTGTCCATGGCCCTGACGTATGCCCTCTCGCTGCCCCCTCACCCCCTTTTTCCACCCGGCTGACCCCCTCTAGCTACCCCCTTATAACCCTCTCGACTCGCGCACAGGTCGAGTCAAGCCGAGCAGACTCAGCCTTCCTAGACGCCGTGCGGCGCATCGTGCAGCGTGAGGGCGTCACCGGGTTGTACGCCGGCGTTGACTCTGCGCTCTTCGGCATCAGCGTCACCAATTTCGTCTACTACTACTGGTATGAGTGGACGCGGGCGGGCTTTGAGAAGGCAGCCGTAACAGCCGGGCGCGCCTCCAAGAAACTCACTACCGTCGAATCCATGATTGCGGGCGCCATTGCCGGCTCTGCGACGGTCTTGCTCACGAACCCCATCTGGGTCATCAACACGCGCATGACGACTCGCAAGCGCAACAAGGAGACGGATGAGAGCTTGCTGCCAGGGGTGAAGGGCCCGAAGGCACCGACGACGATAGGGACGCTGTTGGCACTGCTCCGGGAGGAGGGACCACAGGCGCTGTTTGCGGGCGTGGTGCCGGCACTGGTGCTCGTCATCAACCCTATCCTTCAGTATACGATCTTTGAGCAGTTGAAGAATGTGCTGGAGAAGAAGAAACGGATCACGCCCACTATTGCCTTCCTCCTGGGCGCGCTGGGCAAGCTGGTCGCGACGACCATCACATACCCGTACATCACGGTCAAGAGCCGCATGCATGTTGCTGGACGGGATTCCCAGAAGGAAAACATGCTGGAGGCGATGCGGAGAATTGTCAGGGAGGAAGGCTATGTTGGCTTCTACAAAGGTACGTGCTTTGGTTGAACCTCGCTCCTAAGATGTCGCTCACAGGCATAGGTATTGGACCAAAGGTCACTCAGAGCGTTCTCACAGCGGCATTTCTGTTTGCATTTAAGGACGTTCTATACGAGCAGTCCGTCAAACTGCGGAGAAAGCTGCCGGTCAAGGCATAAAAATTTGCCAATAAATAATACAGAAGTCGGTGTCCGCCATCTCGCGAGGATTCCCTTTCCTATAAATGATGTATGATACGGATGCGATATGCATAACTTGTTCGTGCCTACAGGGCATTAGGTAAGGTTGGGCGGTAGGGACAAAAGATACAAAAATATAAGATATCCATAGGTCCATCTGGGGTGGCTTTGGGGTTCCCTTCATTAGTGTATATATCCATTTCCTTTAAAATTTCAAGCATCCAAAATTGCAGAAGTTACAAAATAAGATATTGATTCCCAAACACTTCTGGAATCGATATTCAGCAAGCCCATCCCTATGCGTGAAGTCACCGATATCACCCAACCGGCTTTCGGTATGAACCGGCAAGAAAGCCAGCATCACATGTTGCGTTGACGCCACTCCCTAGATGTACCTAGACTGGAACAATTTACTTACCTCCCTCCGAGGCCATTCTCCTACAGACTCCCAAGGTCCATCCCCAAAATGAACCAGCAGAAAGTGCGCACCGCCCGACGCTTTCCCGCAGAGCAGGCGGAAGCCATGTCCGAAACGGGACGGAAACTAGTAGCGTACCACATATACAACTTTTAGTCAACGTAATCAACAACCAACAGCTCGGGCTTGTGGTTTAGTGGTATAATACCTCTTTAGCATACATTTAGCATACATGTGCTCTTGTATAGAGGTGGTCCTGGGTTCGATTCCCAGCAAGTCCATTTTTTTTGAGTCATTTTATTTTTGTCCCTTTTTGCCCGGACCGATGAACCCTGGGGCTGAGTGAGTGCTGCTCCTTTTTTTCTTTTTTAGTTTGACTCGGTGGTCGATTATATCACGTGGTTATGGTTCACAGAAGGCTGGATACAACTCCCCGTCCGGTATGTGACAGAAGAAGCCAACGTTTTCTTTTTACAGAGTATTTACCCACTCTCTACAGCTTTTCTTGTTTCACTAAAAGCAATAAATATCATTCACATCATCGGATTCAGGTAATTATCCGGACTTGTTGCGTAATTACTTCTTTTTTCTTCTGTTTTTCCCTCTTTTTCTTTTCGAACGCATCATAATCTCTCCATACCTACTTCCTCACTTAGTTCCTATCCCCCAACTCTCCTCCCAGCTCAACTCATCAGCCAGCAACTATTATATCCAATCCTCCCGCAAGTAATCTTCTATCCCATCTATCTATCATCCAACACCGCCGCGAAAAGGGTATATAGACACACAACATGACACATATCTCTCCGCACGATCCGCGCCAAGATCGCCATCGGCGTGACGCTCGGCATTGTCCTCCCGCTCATCCTCGCCGGCGTAATCTTCTGGTTCGTGCGGCGACGGCGTCGCGCAAGCGGTGAGGATTGCCAGACCCTCAAGAGTAACCGCGACAGCAACGGGCACTCCTACTCAGAATATATACCCGCCGGCGGCGGCGGTGGTGGCACTGGCGACGGTGGGAATAAAGCCAACCGCATCCTCGGCCAGGATCTGGAGCTTGACCCGCCGACGCTCTCGAGCCAGCGGTATCTGAAAGCCTCAGCTGCCGAGCTGGACTCTACGCCCATCAGGACGCCTGAGCCGTCGGAAAGCACGATACAGGGATATTCCGAGAAGGAGGGCTAGCGGTACGAAAGAAAGAAAGAAGAAAGACAAAAAAGAATCTTAAATGAGGGCCGCCCTGCTCGCTGCTCGTCGACACTCCCTTACCTTACCTTACTTTATATAATACCCCCGCCTCATTACCCTGTTTCTTGGCTCAGTCAGCCAAGATTTGACAGAAGACCGCGCACCCCCAGGGAAGGTCATCTGGTGCGCATATGCGCTATTTGTATTATAACGATGTGGTCTTTCCGATTTGGAGCTTGACTTCCCAGAAGAGGAGGCGTTGGAAGTGCCACTGGAGCTGGAGTTGGATGAGGGTGGAGAAGTGGTGAAGAGATCGTTGAGGAGGCTGTTTCGCGGGTTAGCATTCTTGGGAGTATCAGGAAAGAAGGGGATCTTACCCATCGATGACATGCACGACGCCATTGGAGACGAGAAAATCAGGGGTTATGATTTTGGCCTGGTTGACGAAGATATTGCCGTTCTGCTCGGAGATGGTGATATTTGCCCCGGTGGCAGTCTTTAGCTGCATGCCATCCTGAAACATGGTGCTGTAGACCAGATCGTTGGTGACGATGTGGTAGCGGAGGATATCGAGCACGTCGCCCTTGCTTGACATGTTCGACGTGATGTCGGTAAAGGCGTTGAGCGCATCCGCCGAATTTGGGATGAAGAAGGTGACGTCCGACGCATTTACGTCGCTCCCGACTGGGTCATAACTGAACACACTGGTGATTCCAACCTCGTACAATCCAGCCACGAAGAAGTTGAAGTTGGCCTGCAGTAACAAGATTCCCATCTCGAGAGGGACTGTTAGGACATCAGAGATGATCTGGATGACACCCCCGGTACAAGTGACATCCTATCAATCCGTTAGAGATGATCAAGTCTGGCTCTCCTCCTCATGGAGTAGTTAACATACCTGGGTGACTATCGTGGAGACAGTCTTGTTCCAGGACAAGATCTGGGGGTTGCCCTGACTGTCCGATACCAGCTCTACTGCCTGGCCCGCTGTCACGTTTGTATACATTGGGTTCTTCAGTTCCGAATGCACAAATTGCGGCGCGGCCGACCATGACCTGGCTGGGAATTCACCATTCAGGATGTGGTACTGGATGAGCTCCTCCATCTCCTCATCGCCAATCGTCGTCAGATTATGGCTCTCCAGGTAGTTACTGATGGCCGAATTGGACGGGGCGAGGAAGGTGAAGTTGTCGAGCGACGACAGCATGTTGGTCAAGGTGGACGAGGCATTGACATAGTGATAGAGCTCTGTGAGCTCCAGATTCGTCCCCAAAACTTCCATCAGGCTCTGCGCCGAAGCGCGCGCGACCAAGAGCACGAAACAGAGGTAAAAGAACTCCATCGTTACACACGTACACAAAAGGAATTGGAAAGTGTTTGGGCCATGCGGTGTCTTTGTACCTGGAAGTTCTCGTCAACCTCCACGCCGCACTGGTGCGTGGAGCTTGATACTGTGCCAACATCGCCCAAGCTAATCAGGTGGGAAGACTCGAGATGACTGTCAGGGGTCCAGAGCACGCGCAGCGCGCCGGCGTGAAGCGTAGGATCAGACAAAACGAGCCTCTGTTAGGAATGATTCGTAGAGCATACGCCCGTACTGGACTACAGGACGGGGCATACTACTCCGTATAATGGTACTGTAAGGTAGTACCGGACCGTACCCGAGGCATTCTTCTGTACAGAGGTATGTACTGTGTACGGTTCCGTACTCTGCACATTTGCACCTTCGTAGCCTTCCCATCCTCTCCTCTGTACTCTGTTCTGTACCTACATGCTATCCGTACGGAGTCCACGATTGACGATTGCCAGATTGCTGCTCTATGCATGTGGGGCGAGGCGGGACGAGCCTTATCATGCGGTTGTCGCGGTGACCCCGACTACCTACAGTACGATGTAGAACTCTTATATTGACCACAGCCCAGAAGCTCGAAAATCCCATATCCAGCCTTTGAGAGGCCAAGTCACGACTCGATCCCGACCGTGGGTTCGTAGAAGCGCAGGACTAATGCTCAGCACACTGTCCAGACGGGCCCGTCCAGCAAACCCACCACTTCTCTTCAGGGCGCAGCGGATCTTGTCAAAGAAGAGCAGGAGACGGGACGAACTACTGCGCTTCGCCTCATATTCGCGACCACACTTATGTACCTATGCAAGGGGAGGAGTCCAACTATCCAAGACTCGGGTTGTCCAACCTTTACGTACCGGTCAGCTCGCACCAGGGTTCCTGCAAAAGACCCTGCAGATGTCGGGCGCGCTCCAATGACAATCAGGGCCGAAGGCACGAATCCCAGCTTTGCGACTCTGCGGGTACCTCTGTCCGTATCCTGATCTGATCTGAGAATCCGACCTTGAAGAGAGTGGAGGGGTATTTCCGATACTTCCTCTAGGGAACATGTTGGTTGGTGATTGTTGGAGGTTGTCGATGGGGCAGTGAGATTTGTTGGAAGAGCTGTTGTCGATGGGCAGTGAGACTGTAAGATCGTAAGTAAGATCGTACTTCGCAAAGCCGTCAGCCCGGATTTCTACAGTATACTCGTTAAGTCAAGTTCTTACTCAGGTTCCAAGTCCAGACACGAGGGCCTATGGTGTCTGTATGTTCCTAGAGGTCTACTCTGCCCTGAACGTCCCGTATTATACCTAGGGGCAGTAACATCTACGACTCTACATGTTAGTAGGAACGAACATGTTACATCTGAGGCCTTGACTGTTGCCCTATATCAAGCCCAAGAAGTATTGTAGACGCAATCAGTCATTACTGCGTACTCTGTAATCCTCCCCTCTGAGGCTCCGAGGCTCTCTCCAACCAGCCACCCCATCTCAACCGCCTCCTTGGTAATAACCACAAGGCACCTCGTATTCTGTGATAAGCCACGGTATTAATGAAAATTACCGAAATTTCCGGGAGCCAAAAGAAGACAAAGGGCTCCCCCTTCCAAGGATCAAGTACCAGGATCGTAACCAGGACCCCCCCGCAACTCCTATATTTAATCCCACGTGGTCATCACGCTTTCCGCTCAAACCTTAAACGCTCCTGGTGGGGAACCCGCTCGGTATTTGTGTCCTGTACAGACATCTATGAGCAACAGATCCTCACTGTTGTTTGATGGGCGTTGCGAAGACATACTGGAGTATTCTAATACAGGGCGCGGGACTGGTAGTGGTTGACAATGTTTGGATGTATTGTCGGTGGTTGTCGGCAGAGGGAGAGAGACGTGAAGCCTGTTCCACTCCAAGTCCAAGTCCAACTCTCACTCTCACTTCACCCCACGACACAGTACGATAGGTCCTCGAAAACAATGCAATACCAGGCTATCACATCAAGATAGATCCATAGCCACTTCCCAGCCTCGCTACATCCTAGGCGTCGGCAGTCATGCCTAGGTAATCGTCGTCCAACAACCCCTCCCTTCTTCTCATACTCCCTATACAGAAATCATCGAGCGCCACACCGAGGTGATGGTCACTTAGAGTTAATTACATACATGCATAGCATAGCATTAGACATTGATCATCAGCACATGGAAAACCAACTATGCCGCGCTTCCTCCTCCGCGGGGAAGAAAAGAGAGGGTTTGAGAAGTAAGCTTTCCCCCGTTCTTTCTTTCGTTCTTTCCCCCTTCCTTCTTCTCATTCCAACGCCAATGATTCTCTTAATGCCCTCTTCCTATCTTGGACAGAGAGAGATGGGCTTGAATCGCAACGTGCAATTCCAATTCATAAAGAGTAGATAGAATCAGGCCCGAAACCAAACCCACGTGACAAATGACAAACCAACCGCGGATTTAAAAAAAAAAAGCAGCGGATCAACTCCGCCAAATCGGACAAGGTCAACACAGTAGCAAAAAGCAAGAGTATAAGCTGGCCAAGTGAATGATCAACCTTGATGGACTTGCTGGGAATCGAACCCAGGACCACCTCTATACAAGAACACATGTATGTGACGCTTGCTAAAGAGGTATTATACCACTAAACCACAAGCCCGAGCTGTTTGTTGGAGTTGCGCCGACTAAACCCGACCTTGAACTACCATCGGACATACGGAGTACCTACAGAGAACCTGTGGTGCCTCGGCTGCCAGACCGTCCATGGGTGATAGTCATGCCTAAACCTACGGTAAAAGGAATCTCTCTATTCCAGTACTTCGAGCAATCTGTAGTAGATATACCTCCGTTCCTGCTGTCAAGTCTGGCGCTGTGACCGAAACTACAAAGCTAAATAAGGTAATCCGTTTGACCACTTAGCGCTATAGCATGGTCTTTTGATACAATGATTATTGTTATACATCATCTTCAAGACAAGAAGACCGGGATGAATGCTAGTGGCAGCCCAATGTACGCTGGATGTTGTGATGAAGGACATAGGGGTATGGGGGATGGGATAAGGTACATACGCCAGAGAAGTGGATAGGCACAGAAGAGCGGGAAGTAAATACCTCAAGAGTCTCTATCCATTTTATTGCGCACCCGACAATCAAAAACATATCTATCTACCTACTCTACCACGTTTTCCGGTCTCCAGTGTCCAGCATTCATGAGCTCTCTCTTTTCCTACGCGAGGGGAACCACCTTTGGTACCACCCACCAATCATGATACCTCTCTCCCGCCTTTGGGATGTCAACCCTGAGGCGTATCTGCCCCTTCCCTCCAGTTGCTTCCACCGCCCTCTTGACCGCCGCGATCGAGACGCCGGCGAAGATGCATGCCTTCAGACTTTCGCGGACGTTTTGCGCCCACCCCTCATGGTAGCCTTGGCAGAACGCTTCCGCAGGGCCCAGCTTGGCGAGGATCTCAAACGCGCGTTTCGCAGCTGCGACGGACTCGGCCGCGAAGCTCAGTAGGGCGAGTGGGGACTCACGGGGCTGGGCAACGAGTTCTTCAAGTTCGGCGGGTGGGATCGGCTCCGGGAGACTGATGGAGAGGAAGGGCTTCATGCGGACGTCGTAGCGCGTAGCGGCGTCGCTGTAGGGGCGGGGCAGCACGGGGAGGAGGGAGAGGCGGGCGAGAACAGCGAAGAGGCTGGACAGGGCGTCGGCGAAGCCGTATGTCGCGGCGGCTTCCAACGTGGAGAAATTGTTGAATGCCAGGGCAGTTGTGTACTCGTCGCCGCCCTGCGTCGTGCGGATCCGGCTCCGGGACGCCGAGACATTGCGCATCAGGCAGGCGCGGATGCGCTCCAGGTGCCGGGCACGCGTCTTTGCCAGGTATTGTAGGTACCAGTACATAGTTGGTAGCTCGTCGGGCTGGTAGATCTCGAGCTCGAAACCCATCTGAACGATCCACTCCATCTGGCGGAGCTTGTAGAAGTACGCCCACGACGACAACGGGAAGGCATAGATGGGCTCGCTCGAGATCGCACGGTCGACGATAGGCTCTTCCTTGGTAAACTGGCGCAGATCTTGGTCGATCTCCTCGGCATCGAGTTGGAGATTGTCCCAATCTGAGATCGTATGGCATAGCGTTCGACGGATCCTACATCGATTCTGGCAGATGGTTCGCAGGATATCCAGGTATGTCCCCGCAGCCCGGGAACGGAAAAGTTCCATCCTGCTGGCCATGTTGAAGCGTGGGTCGGTTGGTACCTCGATATCATCATTACCCCGGTCCAAAAGCTTATTTGCAGGAAGCACGGTGCTTGCTAAATCCTCATCAATGATTTGACGGATAGACATAGTTCCTAGTATAATCATATCACCGAAGAGATAGTGTTGCAGTAAAGTGCGAACGTAAACTGACGGCTGAGGTTTACGCGCTTGAAAAAGCATTACAAATGTCTGGAGAACATGTCAGCATTGTGATGAATGGCAACATTCAGTACATACAAAAAGACTGTGGCTGTCATGATATTCGAGTACCTCGACCACGACAGAGGCGTCCCGACAGAGTCTCTCCAGGTGGTCAAATGCAGCCTCCTGACTAACTTGCGCAATGGGTCGTGGTGGAACAGTGCTTGCTAGTTTACGCTGCACCTTGACGCTGAAGGATTTTGGGACAGGCTTCCCGAGCTTGGAAGAGAGTTTGAGTTCTGGCAGGAAATCTAGCAATTCGTTCCAAACAGCCTTCAATCCCGGAGTTGTCCTCGAGGGCGCCATCTCAACGGTCCGGAGGAATTTAGCCCTGAAACGAAGTCTACAGCTCAATGCACTCTTAACTTCTGGCAGCATCTTGTCAGAGCCGGAAAGCAATTCGATGGTCTCCTCTAGAAGCTTAAGTATCTGTTCATGATCAAGTCTGTCAAGCAGACTTCTATTGTAGGTATGGGTGACGAAATCTTCTTCCTAGGAGATCATATAAGTATGTTTGGACTTATTTAGGGGCTGTTTGAAATCTTACCTCGTAATAGTGCTCTGACCTGACGCGGTTATTGACAAACCAACAAGTCTTGATTAGACCAAGACAATACGCCCGCAGTACTTGAAGAGTTAAAGGTTCATCCACTGAGCAGCTCCCACCTTTATCAAAATAGGTCTGCTCTAGGCTCGTTGGAGTTGGCATTAAAAGCCTATCAATGTACAGACTGGTGAAGATGGTTTGGGAGAGCGGATAACCCATATGCCAGGCCATCTATATGACATTAGACTTTTGTAATTTGGTAACATTAGAGACCATACCTCATGGCAAAGAAGTTGATCGATTATTCCGATAATCTCCTCCGGGAGCAATGCCTGGCTGAAATCATAATCATCTTCCATCGTCTCGCCTGGCTCTAGGAATCCGCTATCCATCTTTGGATCCATGATCTGGCTGCTTCAGCTAATGATCACCAAAACCACCGCACACATCACTTACCTCCAAGGCGCCGACAGACTCAAAGAGCGTGAAGTCCGGGTCTTTGATCAGCTGTCCAACATCGAGCTCTGCAACAGATTCAGCACGTGACAACATAGAAAGTGCTGAAGCGAAAACGCACTTTGGGCAGCATTCGTGAACTGCTCGGTGATATCCATAGCTATAACGCCTTTACTCTGCAGTTTGGGTGCAGATGGCGGCTCTTGTTCATAGGCGCCAAAGGCTGACGGTTTATTTGGGCCATCGTCGATACCGAGCCCTGCTACCTCTATCCGGATTGTCAGTTCTCTGGAATCATTATTCGTCGGCGAATCGAGGAGGTCTCACGTTGAGAAAGGACAGAGACGCCATCACTATGCATGGTTGCTCGAAACCGTCTGGTTGCGTTCTGCAAGTCTGATGTATTTGACTGATACTATGTTTTTCGGTCTGTGGATGATGCGTCGGAAGATCTCGCTTCGTTTGTTGGTGTCTCTCCCGTGCCTTTTGTAGATACAAAGGTTTCTTGTGGAACTCTCGACAGAACCCGATATTTAACTAGCACAGTTGTGAATGGGCCAACTAAAAGGTGGAGTGGTAAGAGTTACGGGTTTGAGGCAGACGGACAGACAGGAAGACAGGCAGAGAGGCTTCCTAGATTCTACAAAATTCCCCTCTCTGCTTCGAAACGGGACATTCGGACAACGAAAATGCAAGTCAATTGCGACCATATTCCTCCCTTACCTTGCCTTCAGAGCGTTCCCTCCCGAGTAATTCTATGCTGGTAAGAAATCACCCGAGGCATTCTTCCCGATTTTGCTTCTCAAAACAACTTCCTCTCTTCTACGCCGACCCTATCTCTTAAGGCAACAAGCAACAAGAGTGGCAGACCTCGTTCCTTCGATTTCACGTTAACAGCATATATCTCTGGATATGATCGTTTTTGGAATTGCTAGGTCCATAGACCATGAAATGATACACATGTACAGGCCGCCTCCAACGCTAACCCATCCACTTCCATCGGTCCACCCCCCTTCTCTAAACACTCTCTGCGAATCCAATTCTCATATCTAAGATGATGACTGCGAGCCAGCCTCTGCCATCGAAGCACTGTTTGCCTCCGCGAGGCTCTTGCTCTCGCCCTGCTTGCCGTTCTGTCCGAATCATCGTCAGTCAAATCCTTCCGTGGACCGCCGAGCTCGCAAGGACACTCACGTTCCATTTCGAGAACTTGAGATCCATCTCTCCTCTCCGCTCAGCAATCAATCGTTTGTCCTCCTTCAAGCTTCGTCGGACAACTCGTGCCGCGACGGACAGATATTTGTTGTAGCTATTTGAAGATTTGTCAGTTGGAGCCTCTTTCGAAAGCGTACAGGCGCAATTGGAGTCTGGGAAATGATGGTCACGTACGTAAGACCTGCGGCTTTCCACGCGAAAGGCATTGTGTTTGATGAGGTGGTGAGTTGAGGTACAGCGATTTGATCAGTTTTATCGTAGCTTGTTGAGCTTCGGTCTGGCTTTCGGAAGTCGAGAAAAGAAGCCGCCGAAAGACGAGTCACGTGATGACGGACTTGGCCCTGCGAGTTTACGACGGGCAAATCGTTCGACACCGTACACCACAGAGCAAGATTTTGAACCTCTGGTGCGGATCTGGATAATAAAACCGCAGTCATATGTATTCAAGATCAAGGAAATATATTTTTGCCAGTTAGAATTGCTCGTATATCTACAGTACACTCTAAGAGCTGTTGATACAACCCGACCCTCTCGTCCGAAATTCCCAACCTTCTATACTTTGAGGCCAAGCTCCTCTGCGTAGGGCAGTACATACAGATCTCCAACGGCCGAAACAGTCGCCTTGCCCTCCAACAGGGCCTTCGCTGCCTATGTGTATGTTAGAACTGTTTCCGACCTAAAGAAAGAAGATGCAGCAAATTGGGAGCACATACCGATTGCAGTTGGTCAGCAGTCACAGACTCGACACTCTTGCCAACCTCGTCAATCTGGAAGGCCTTTCCACCGTGGATAAGACCGGTGCCGGTCGAGACAAGACCAGCCTCAAAGTTTTGGCCTTCCTCTAACGCTCGGTACTTCGCAAGGGCAACGGCCTTGGTAAAGTCTTCCTTGCTAATGGAACCTTCAGCGATGCTCTTGAGGGCCTTGACAGCCTCAGTGGATGCAGCACGGATGGCTTGCGCAGAGCCGCTGAACTCAATTGCCAAAAGCCCCGCGTCAGAGTAGGCAAAGTGGGACGTTGCGGCGCTGGCGCCAGGGAAGGATGCAGAACTCTTCGAGAGAAGGGAGAAACCTGGAGACCACTTGATGGTAGATTTACCTCCGAGCAGAGCTGCGAGAACCGAGACTTCGGGCTTGTAGGATCCACCAGCTGTGAAAGAACTGGATCCTGGGAAGGCGATAACCAAGCTGTTGCCAGAGCCGTGTGCAGTACGTTCCTCTCCACCGTAGTATTTTGTCGCTTCGCTCGATACAGTTGAAGAGGAGCCTGGGACATTGGTGAAGAATTCGCCAACCCATTTGGCCAATTCGGCCTGGCTAGCACCGTTGGCAACGACAGCGATATTTGGCTTGGCGTAAGCGCTGGAAGCGAATGCTTTGATGGATTCCTCGTTCAAGTACTTGCTCAGGGGGGTTGATGGGGATGGGAACAGTGGGTTTCCAAGGCCTTTGTGGAATGCGACCCCGTGTGCTGAGTTGATTGCGATATGAGACGCATCGGCGAATATACGCTTCTGCTCGAGGTGGAGGCGAGCCTCGACCTCCTCGTGGTATTCGTGGGCTGTTCGACGTTCCTCAGAATTGGGGGTCTCTAGACTATCGACCGATGTACTTACAAGTGTATCTGGTCTGAGAGATGACTTCACCAAGCAATTCGGTAAAGTATGGCAGATCTTCTCGCAGGAAGTTGGCCTCGACAACCAAGGCCTCTCTCGTGTGGTATGCAGTCAATTGACCTCCAAGCAGCTCGGACTCTCTTGTGATCCGAAGGGCAGAGCGCTTGTCGGTGTTCTAGGTCAAGTGAAGCACAGTCAGATAACGACGTGAAAAATATGGATTGGTCACGGAAAACATTGGACAGACGTACCTTGAATGCAAAGTACTCAAGACCTGTGGCCACCCCTGGGGCCGATTCGTATCTCGTCCCCGCTTTGGCAACGACAGCGAGCTTCGTAGTTGGGCCAGCGATATCTCTGCTGGCTACCTTGACACCGCCAACATCCGCAGTCTCGTACGAGAATGAAGTTGATCCGGAGACGGCAGCAGCGAAACCGCGGCGGTTAGCCGGCTGGGCGCAGCATTGCCGACGAAGGGCAAGCTGCGCATTTCTTCCAATCGCCGACCGTGAGATCATTGTTCGGATTGGTGGGGGGGTTGCGTAGAATCGAGGATGTCGGTTTGTGAAGTCGCTGAGTGATGGAAGAGCTCTCTTCGAGGGAACAATTCGGGATCTCATGCAAATAAATACGACGCAATGATTGGATAATTCAAGCGAGGCCTTAGCGCAGCACCACTAGATGGCACCCCGCCTCACAGAATCCGTGGCCGACCATGGTAGCAAATGATTTTTCCTCTACGAGACCTGCGATTCTGACATTGATAACCGTCAATGAAGCACCGGTAGTATTTGTGGTAGCTCTAGAGATCTTGAGGTAGTCTCTAGCAGCAGAAGATGTCTCAAGTATGTTTTCTGTTTTTTACACTATCTTCAGCACCACCGCACTTTTTTCTTCCCATGCGAATAGCTACAGAAACTGATGCAGACGCAGACAAAGGACGCAGTGGAGCTCTATTCTCTACTTGTCGATGAGACCTACGGCGAATTAACCTCTGTATGTCTGCCACCTCCCAGTACTAGATTTAAAGAAATGTTTTTCTGCAAAATCTTTGCACCTCTTGACGGGGCTGAGTGAAGTCTCTTGGTTTGGACACGTCTGACGCTGTACAGCGGATTTTTACAATCCTTTTACGAAGAGGACGGCTCCCAATACACAGTCTTGGCCAGCACACTCGTCTCACCAGGCGCCAGCTACGGCATGGTCTGGTAGTTCTCATCCAACAAAACCTCGTCTACTACTTCGAAGAAGGCGAAACCACGTATTACGAGGCAAATCAGGACTCTGCATACGGACTGGTTAGGTCTGGAAAGATCTTGGAGGTTTTGGAAAGCAGATATGGCGCTTTGGCACGAGACCTAGTGCTGAATCTGTTCCTGCTAGGCCATACCAGAGTTTGCGACCTTGCCGACGCATATCGGTCCAGTACGGAGTCACGTATCAACGGTAATAGTAACGAAGTTGTTGCGGCGAGTTCCACAGGACGGGAGGATGATACACATGTTTTCTCTGCCGGGAAAGTGGATTCCATGTTGTATGATTTACTCGAGGCTGGTTTCGTTGAGCCTGTTGTCGAGGCGATGTTTCGAAGCCCGGACGATACATACAACGATGTAGAGAAGACCATCCTCAGAGATGAATTCACAGGTGGCCCCAAGGGCACAAAGCAGAAAGAACAGATGAAGAACAGGATCCGTGATAAACTGGAATCCCTCAGATCCGAAGGGCGGGATTGGAAGCGGCAGGGCACAAAGAGAGCCTGGAATGGTGTTACCGGCACCAATGGGGATGCTAAGCGGAGGAAACTCGCAAATGGTGACCTTGCCGTCAACGGCAACCATGACCACGAGGATGAGGTTCTTAGACTTGAAGTGGGTTTCTCTGGTTTCTGGAACGGGATAAGATCGCATGCTAACTTGCATAAAGCGGGATCTGGTTGTACGCGTCAACTACGAGAAATGCACAGTCGCTCTTCGTAATCTACGACTCGCTGAGTTTGCAAATCATAGAATCGGCGAGACCACTTCATACGTTTATGCGGAACTGCTCAGACTCATGGAGGAAAGCATACCACGATGCCGGCGAGATCATAGTGTCGACGATGCCGAAGACCTTCCAGATGGACCTACTGTTACCACCATGGAGCTTGCTGCTGCAATCAGCAAATCTATCAACGTCGGAACAGGTATCGGGAAAGCACCAGGTGACAAGATTGACACCAAGAAGCTATTGAAAACGAATAGGTCCGGCAAGGGAAGATCAGATGGCGATACTGAAGCACAGGTTGAAGGTGAAGCTAGCACAGATGAAGATGAATCCGAGGAAGAGGATCACGAGATGAATGGGAATGGAAATATACCAGAGGTGGACGAGGACTTTGAGAGCCGTGGCGAAGGTGGCGTTGCAACGAAGGCTCCCAAGCGCGCAAAGGTTACATTCCAAGACATGCCCCCTAAGCCACCGGAGCCTGAGGATCGCGGAAATCGGATCACTCAGATCAAGAACCACCTGATGTTATTGGCAGCAGATGAATGTCATTTTTTGCGTCGTTGTGGAACCCGTGGCCAGGGGGAATGGACGGTCGACTTTGAACGTCTGGTTTACTTTTTACAACAGTCAGAGCTCGACTCAATTCTTTTGGAAAACTTCGGCACGGCTGGGCACCGTCTCGCTCGGATGATGCGCAAGATGGGAAAGATAGACGAAAAGCAACTTTCGCCTCTGGCTCTGATGAAGCAGAAAGACATTCGAACGAAGCTGGCTGAGATGCAAATGGCAGGCATGGTTGACATACAGGAAGTCCCAAAAGATGCAACTCGCACCAATGCCCGCACTATCTTTCTCTGGTACTTCGACTCTGCTAGGGTTTCCGCGATCATCCTCCAGAACGTCTACAAAACAATGTCGAGATGTCTTCAACGTCTTGAGATTGAGAGGCGCCGAGCTAGTGGCATTCTCTCATTGACGGAACGATCAGATGTGAAGGATAATCAGGACGAGGCGCTCACCGGAGAGCAGCTGAACATGCTGCGTGAGATTCGAGGGAAGGAAGAGAAGTTGTTGGGGCAAATAGTTCGACTTGACGAGCTAGTGGGTACTTTCCACGATTACTAGTTTGGAAATCGTGTTCGAGGATTGGTTACGATATCGTGGGTTAAAACATTTGCATGGATAGGCGTTTGACTCTGCTGCATCTTTGGGCAAGGCGTTAATCACGCAGCGGTGGGACTTTCCAGCTGGATTGAGGACTTGTGATACCATAGATTTTGCACAGTTGCTTCTAGAGCAATGAGATATGGAGACAAAACTTGGACCGTGTATCTTGTCTTTTGTACCTCTGGCGTCTCTATATGGCGAAACTCAATCTGATGTTGGTCGGGGAATCTGCTGTTAGACTCTGGGTAGGGCCCTCCGTCTGGTAATGATACATATCGTTCTGAGTCTATCGAGGTATTGGAGGCAGTGAGCCATTGAGATTCCAATGGCAAGATGGAACTGACTACGTTTGCTCTGAAAATATGGCGGAGTGAGATAGGGTAAAGTCCAACCCCTCCTATCTTCTCGTAAGCTCTCTTCCATGCTGTGATCTACCTAGACCTAGATGGAATGTACATAAAACAATGTAAATACAAGGCTGGATGGAGGTGTTTAATTAGCGCAATTAGTCCTCCCGATACGTGGATCTTTTACCTCCAATGTAGGTATCTTGAATCCATATTAAAATCGACCTCGTCATTATGTGTGCTGCTTTTTTAAGGTAATATTCGTATGATACACCTATCGTACCTATACAATGATATCATAGACATCAAAACTACCTATAAGACGACGCCCGACGCGTCTGCCAATCAACCAATACGTTACCTAAGGTAGATAGAGCATGGTACTTGTAAGTTGTAAGTGAGTATTAGTTGTGAGCATGGGGCAGAAGAGTATCCCGTTAGTGCAACCCGGGGTATAAAAAAAAAGAGCCGAATCGGACTTTGAGAGCGAGGGATATCTAAAAATTATCTGGACTTTGTTGAACATATTTGGACCTTCCGGACAACCACACTCCGCTTCATTCTCTTGTCTACATTCATTTGATACGAAACTACTTAGGATACAAGAAAATCCTTACGTTGTTCTTTATCTCGAAACCCAATTGTCCGCCGCCGCAATGTCGCCTATTGCAGCAGTCGCACCAGGCTCTGCCTCCAAGGACTACAAGAAGGAGTCGACAGTGGCAAGACTGTTAGGATCAGGTATGGCATGTCCATTGCTCCATTGAGCATTCAAATCCTCGGAGCCCATTCTCACGTTATTATTTAGGATCTGCGGGCATTGCTGAACTCGCTGTTTTCCATCCCGTATGCTCAAATCAACACAATGGCCGATAAGAATAACACTAACTCGTCGAAGGTGGATACAATTGCGAAGCGCTTAATGAGCAACCAGGGAAGGGTAGGGTGATACCAAGCTGGCAGCTGCCATGGGGAGGTCGAGTGCTGATTGTTTGAGCAGATCACCTCGGCCGCGCAATTAAATACCGTCGTCTTCAAGGACAAGGCTGCTGCGCCGGTGGGAAAGAAATTCTTCTCGCTATTCCCAGGTCTTGGTTACGCTGCTGGATACAAGGTCTATAATACATGAGCACCGAATTCGTACAATGAGATTGACTCTCCTCCAGGTCCTGCAGAGAATATACAAATATGGAGGACAACCATTTGTCCGCGACTACTTGGCGAAGAACCACGGCACTGAGTTCGACAAGGCTTTTGGACCAAAGACCGGAAAGGCAATTATGCATTCGTGTGCTGGAAGGTCAGTAATTCACGAAAAATGGTTCTACATTTATTGACATCCTGTCTAGTCTAATCGGTATTGGTGAAATCGTCCTCCTCCCGCTCGACGTCCTAAAGATCAAGCGACAAACAAACCCCGAGGCCTTTCGAGGTCGTGGAGTCATTAGGATAGTGAGGGATGAGGGCTTTGGTTTGTACCGAGGCTGGGGTTGGACTGCCGCTAGAAATGCGCCTGGTTCATTTGCTGTCTGTCTTCCCTCCTGTCTATTTCAATTATTGCCCCCCAGCTAATGCAATCACCAGCTCTTCGGTGGCTCCGCGTTCACGAAAGGATACCTCTACGGTCTGACAGATTATAACAAAGCTACGTGGCTGCAGAACTTCGTCGCGTCCATTGCAGGCGCTTCCGCGTCGTTGGTTGTGTCGGCCCCTCTAGATGTTATCAAGACCCGTATCCAGAACCGAAATTTCGAGAACCCTGAGAGCGGTTTCAAGATTGTCGGAAGCATGATCAAGAACGAGGGAATCACAAGTTTCTTCAAGGGGTTGGTGCCAAAGGTATGCTGACATGTGATACCCCGAGCCCATGCTCCGATACTGATATCTTTGCAGCTCCTCATGACAGGACCGAAGTTGGTCTTCTCTTTCTGGCTCGCTCAGACTCTGATCCCAGCCTTTGATATTGCACTGTCCAAATAAGGATGTTTAGGAAAGACGGGGGACGGAACAGTGGAAAGAATCGAGTGTACATTGAATGGTTGTTAGCAAGGAGACGGGAAATGGCGTTTTCGTCTGCTTAGAAAGATATAATGTGGCCCTTCTTGGTGTATATATATTATGAAGTTCACACAGACCATGAACGAGAACCCAACTCTTATGAAAAACAAAGGCCAAAAGTCTAGTGCAGGAATTAATAGGTAAGAGAGGCATTGGTTTTATCCACCCAACACTACCTACCTTGCTCTGAACGGCGCAGATCAGGTGAGGGCGCGTGGGAGCTTTGCTGTATTACATAAGCGGAGACGACCTCCCTTGGACGCAGACGACCGTGAAATTTCAATACCTCAACACCACGTCCAATTCAAACTGCCCAAGATCTTAGACCTCCTAACTTAAAGCACCAAGACCCAAGAGCCAAGATGCCCTCTCCCGCTTATCTCATCTCCAAGGCTGGCGACCCAATATTTGCCCTTTTCATTGGCATTTCCGCCGCTGCAACGCGCATTAACCGCGAAGAGAAAGAGATGGGACGCAGCACGCAGCAAACCCTTGATGCTGCCCGAAGGTATTTACCAGACTTCTGCCCTATCCCTAGTCCTTTTATATATCTTTCAAGAACTGGAAGCTGAAGCTTTTGCGATTAGGAGATTGGGTTTTCCTGCAGACGGCGAGGAGCGGGTAGCCCGCAAGAACTGAAGACAGAGGAAGGAGGAGGCCCAACGCTCTACCATGACGGTGCTTCACGACGATGCTCCTTCCCTGGGCAATGGATAAAGCGCCCTAGGAGTGCCTTTGTTATGATCTTCTCCCAGCACTATGCATCCATCTTCATCACACTCATACACAATCACACTTCATTGCCCCAAAGCAGTTCAAACATCAAGCAAAGAACCCATTCTGCTACATTGTGCCAATCCAAACCCACCATCGATCAAAGAACCACCACAACCTCATTGTCTCGCGCCTCAGTCAAGCTTCGAGCGGAGACCGCATCCAAAGTGCATCGTCCCAACACATCACGACTTAAGCAAGCCACCGCTGCAATCTCAGTGTCTCGCGACACCATTCAGGCGTCTCGCAGAGACTCACCACAACCTCTACAACCTCTCTCCTCCAGTATATTCCTGCTTTAGAGCAGACTCCGAGACTATGATCATGTCTCGACACACTTTTACTCCTCAACTGCGGTCTGCTACAGCCCCCATTCCCATCAACCTGCCCAGCGATCAACAGCCTACCGCTGCCGCCATGCCCCACCATAGGGCCGTCATCGAACAGCAGGCTCGCATCGCCTTCTTGAATGGCAATGGTGTCTTGTGGGAGCTGGTCGTCAGCAAGCTCCAGGACTTCCTTGTCCACCCAATGGACATGACTGAACGAGAGTTCGTCGATTTTGTGCTCCATCCAAATGTTCCTGCCTGGCTTGATGCCAATCTTGAAACCTTGGCTCATCGAGCTCTTTCCCGGAGGATGCAGCTGCACCTTCGTATGGCTCAAATCGGCATCTCGCCGAGATTGGCATCTGCGTTGGACATGCGTGGAGTAGCCAGTGATAGAGACCGCGTGTCGTTTATCAACGAATATCATGCGAAGCATGCAATCAATGCCCTAAGAGGTCTGGGTATTCGGGGCGTAACTAATGACGAGGCCGAAAAGTTCGCTCGTATGAACATGACCGATCAGAGTCGGTTTGTCCTCAACCGAATGTCGAATGCTCACCCCCATCCCACAGAGGGAAATGGTACCACAGATGCTGGTCCATCCACCACAGCCGGTCTATCCACCACCGCCGGTCCATCTACCACCGCCAGTCCAGCTACCACCGCCTCCCAAGGCGAGGTTCGTCATAACTCGGCCCGGAGGTCCGAAACACCTACCCTTAAATCATGCCTTAGAAAGGGGTCGGCCTATGATGAACCCAGTGCCCAGCAAGTCTCGACTGCCCCTGCTCGCCCTCGCAGGAATGTCACATGGAATTATGAAGTTACCGCAGTCGCCCACCCGAGAGACGCAGCAAGGGCTGCAAAATTGGCTCTCAAGGAAGCAGCAAAGGCTGCCAAATTGGCCCACAAGGAAGCAGCAAAGGCTGCAAGACTGGCTCGCGAGAATTCACGCAAGTCGTCTGAGTCGTTGGAGAAGCCAAGCGTCTTCGCAGCGATTGTGGTAGCCTTTAGGAGCGACCCCCCTGAACGTGTCCATCATGTAGTCGAAAGGCCTCGCGTGAAACGACCCCTCGGCCGGTCTATCGTGAAGACCTACAGCGCCGCTTGGGCGGCTTTCAAAGAGCCGCAGCGCCTTGGTCCCGTTCCCACCGAAAGGTGTGGAGACTAAAGGAGATTTTGGATGAGTGCGCTGTTTGCATTTTTGGTGGGGGCGTTTTTGTTTTCTTGAAAAGGATGAAAGAAGAAGAAAAAAATAACAAAAGAAAAAAGAATTAAAAATATAAAAATATAAAAAGAAAGGCCAAAAAAAATAGATATATAAAAAAAAGAAAACCCCCTCCAAAAAAAAGCTCCTGGGGCATTTTTGCTCCTTATTCTTATCTTCGGGGTTTGGGTTGGATAGGGGGGGGCGGGGAGCTTGGATAGGGGGAGGAGGGTGGGGAATGGGGGCGGAGGATCTCTTGTATTTTTATTCTTGTATTGTTACCAACAGCGTTTACATTTTTTATCACAAGCGATGATGACTTGCAATACGTGAATGAATTACTGGCAGAAAGCATCGCATTGTACCTATTCCCAGGCCGTAAGAGATCGCAACAGCCCCTTATCGTGTCTGGTCCCCGGATCTTGGCCCAAGGACCAAGAGCATCCTCACGTGTGGCCAGCAAGCAGGGAAGCCAAGCATACCAGCAAACCAACGAAGTAATTCAGGTGACACGATCTCTGCCTCTCAGCCCACTGCCTCGCCCTTCTGTCTCTGCGCAAAGGAATCGAGTAAGGGGAAATAACTGCCAACGGATCAAGAGTTGTTGCACACGAGTAAGTAGTAGGAGGGCTGTTGGGATTCGCCGCCCGAGTACCGAAAAACGCCTAGGAGATGTGAAGGTTGACCAAGCATCGAAGAGGTTGATCCCTCAGTGCCTAGACGGACTCGAAGGCACCGAAGGTGTTCTCGCCGGAGTAGGAGATGTAGAGAAAGCCGTCCTCATCTATGACCATGCATTAGTGACCGTTACCTCGCGAACAAAGACGTAACGTTTGGGGGTGGGGGTGGGGGAGGGGAGCGCGAACCCTTATGTTCCTCGTAGATGCTGCTCATGAGCGCGGCAGTGGGGGGTAGGACCTCGTCGACGAAGATGAAGATGGCCTTCTCGGGCGATAGCTTGATGCGCTTGCGGATTACGTAGACGAACTGGCCGACGGTCAGGTCGGCGGGGACGAGGTACTTCTTCTTGTCGATGGTGGCGATGTCCGACTTCTCGACCTTCTCGCAGATGACGGGGATACGGTCAGAGTATTTTTGACGCTGCAAGGAGTGGTGAGCTTAGGACGATGGGTTGGGTTGAGGGGTTTGGGGGGGAGGAGACTCACGATGCGTTCGGCTTCAGCCTTGCGCTTCTCGAAGGGATGCTCGTCCTTGAACTTGGATCGCATGGTGACGGTGGAAGGAGTAAGTCGGAGAGGGAGCAGGAAGGATAGTGAGATGGGAAGTGGAAGTGTATTGGGTAGATTGGGGAGAGGTTGGTGCGAATGAGAGTTTGTGGGGGAGTGTTGGTGGTTGGTTGATGTTGTAGTGAGGAGGATAAGTAGAAGACGATACGGGGGGGGGGGAGGGTAAGGTAAGGTAAGATAGACAGACAGATAGTTGTAGTTCTGGCGCTTCCGAGGGGCTCTGCGCAATGTGACTCGCCTCGCTTATTGGCGGGCGGAGCGGTGAATCAGAATGGGATTATTGGATTTCCCGCTGGATGATGACCACGGGCACGACATCAATTGGAAGGCTGCAGAGAGATCACGGGGCAAGACAAGACATGACAGGACATGGCTCTTCTTCTCTTCTTCTCTTCTTCTCTTCTCTTTTTTCTTTCTTTTCTCTCTTTTTATCACTTCTCTTCTCTCTCTCTCTCTCCCTTTCATCCCTTTCAACACCGTCTCTCCCTCTTATCGCTATATCCCAACTCTCTGATTATAGAAACTTCCCCATTATTACCCAGTGTCACTGCGTCATGACCCCAAACCCGGTTTAGCGCTATCTGATAAATATGGATGCCTCACCCTCATCAGGCACCGATTCAGAGCAAACACACGGCTGTCAAGAGCCCGTGTTTGCTTCACCCATTCGATGATGCGCTTCGAGGAAGGTGGAGTTACTTTTTGCTTTGATATACCATTCTGTGTCTGCGTCCTCTCTTGAAACTCCCCCCGCTCTGCTACTCTCCCTTATTGTAGCCGTCCTTTTCTTTAGCCTCATGCTTTTTGTAAAATAGAGGCTGTCGGGCTGGCTTTGCATACACTCCAAATGTCTTCTATAATCAGACCATGTCTGCGCCTCCAGAGTTTACCAAACATCAGGCCCAGGTCGCATCGTCTTCTCCAGACTATACAATCCCGTCGAGCCTTTGCAGATCAACCCAGACCCCCGAATCCCAGAGGTCGGAGACATGAACCGCCTCGAGGCGTCTGGGCTCCTAAGACACGAATTGCCGTCGGCATCGTGTTTGTTGGAGCTATTATCTATTCCATGGTAGCTCTCCGCCTGTCCAGGAACCGACCAAAGGCATCTTGCTGATACCCTATAGCTTACAGAGGAACCGTCAAAGCTTGATGGGCCTTCGATTGCCGAGAGGGACGATCTGGCAAAGCGCGAGTCTGGTGTCACGGAGCACTCCCCAATGCGGTTGCGGATGGAAGCATTTATAAAGGAGCAGCAACAGATAATCATCAGAGAGCTGGAGAAGGTGGATGGCAAGAAGTTTCGAATCGACACATGGACACGGGAGAATGGCGGCGGGGGCACCTCCGCCGTCCTGCAAGATGGGAATGTCTTTGAAAAGGCCGGTGTGAATATCAGCGTCGTATACGGAACCCTTCCTCGGCCGGCAATTGAGAAGATGCGGGTGAACCACAAGGCTATGGATCCCAATGTCGAGTCCCTGGATTTCTACGCGGCCGGCTTGAGCATGGTGCTGCACCCCAAGAACCCCATGGCCCCCACCGTCCATCTCAACTATCGATACTTCGAGACCGTGAACCCAGATGGGACGGCAAATACGTGGTGGTTCGGTGGAGGCACCGATCTGACCCCGTGCTACCTCTTCGATGAAGATGCGGTCCATTTCCACAGGACCATAAAGGAAGCCTGCGATATGCACGATAAGTCGTACTACCCCCGTTTCAAGAAGTGGTGCGACAATTACTTCTCCAACAAACACCGAGGCGAGACACGAGGTGTGGGCGGGATCTTCTTTGACGACTTGGATGAGAGTGAGAAGGACCAGGAAAACACTTTTGCCTTTGCACAAAGCTGTCTGAAGGCCTTCCTACCATCGTATATCCCGATCATCATGAAGAGGAAAGACATGCCGTATACAGAGAAGGAGAAGGAGTGGCAGCAGATTAGGAGAGGGAGATATGTCGAATTCAACCTGGTCCATGATAGAGGTACGGCCTTTGGCCTGAACACCCCTAGCGCGAGGGTGGAGAGCATTTTGATGAGTTTACCTCTTACAGCTAGCTGGAGGTATATGTATGAGCCTGAGAAGGGAAGTAGAGAGCAACGGCTGGTTGATGTCCTGAGGGAGCCCAGAGAATGGGTCTAGTCTAGAACCGAGGCCTGTCGGAATATGTAGAATACCTTATGTAGGATATGGAGAATTCCCCTCTCCGGTCATTTTATCTCTCTTGGACTTACCTACCTACCTTACCTTGTAACCCAGACATTATTAAGTCCAGGTCAACTCTACAACCGAATTCGGTATTTCTACCTACATCACGCGTTCTCTAACGGTCAGCTTCCACGTGCATCACACCATGTGAGGCCCACCTCCTGACATCTCAATATAAATCCTCCTTCACATCATCAACTACCTAGAGTTTTACGTACCTCCACCTCCCCCTCACCAGCCAGAAAGCATGAACCCTCATCCTCCTGCCGCCGTCCTCCCTACTCCACGCACCCTCCTCAACTCCCTCCTCAACTCCCTTACCCTCCCGCCTCCTTTAGAAGATTCCCCTCCTACCTCCTCCTCTCCCCCAGCAGGAAATCCCCTCAAAACCCTCCCCCCAGCCCACCGCGCCCTCCTCACAACCCTTCACGTTCTCTTCCCACCTCCCACACTACTCCAGGCTCTCGACTTGCTAGATCGAGGCCTCGTCACACGTCTTGTTTTACTCCCACCACCTCAGGACCATCCGTCCAGCGCCGATCCCGCAGCGGGGGAGCCAAACGCAGGCACGACCAAAAATAAGCCGGAGAACGCGGTATATATCGTGCACTCCTCGCAGTCCCGCAATTCGAGAGCCGCGCGGGCCGGGAGGGTATACGAGGTGCGGCTCGAAGCGTGGAGCTGTAGCTGTGCGGCATTTGCATTTGCAGCGTTCCCCGGGGCGGGTCAGGGATGGGAAGTTCAAGAAGAGGGCGGGGAGTGGGAGTGGGAACGGGAGAAGGGGGCGGGGTTTGGCGGGGGGTGTTTAGATGGATATGGAGAGCGGGACGGGCAGGTACCGGTCTGTAAGCATTTGCTGGCTTGCTTTCTGGGGGAAAGGTGGAGGAGTGTATTAGGGTGTTATGTGAAGGAGAGGGAGATAGGAAGGGAGGAGATGGTTGGGGTGCTGGTTGGGGGGGAGGTGGGATGAGAAAGGTCAGAGCTCTGGCTGGATTGGATTTTGCTTGAGATGATATAACGGGATACCTTGTTGGGAAGGAATATCAATGTGCGTGGAGCAGGTGGTTGAAGAAGAGGTGTTATCTACGAACAGCCTGTAAAGGGGTCAGGAAGAAAGGGAAAGGAAATACGGGGGTTCCGTAATGGACTGGCTGGCTGGCTTTCATTGACGCATAAGTCACAGATAAGAATCCCAGACAGATATAAATAAACCAAGACATACATACCTGCATAGCTGATATTAAGGCGAGCTACGCATCTATCATACAAATAGCATCTCGCATCTGCGATATGCCATACTGAGCCCCCGAAACTAAACGCCATCGTTTTTGCATCATTACTTCTTTTTATCCTTATCCTCCTTCTCCTTTTCCTTTTCCGCGTCCTTGCTCTCCTTTGCCTCCCCATTAACGCCATTTACAACTGCGGTCTTCTTGTCTTTCTCATCCTTCGGCTCGTCCTTTTTGGCTTCTTTCTCCTCTTGCTGTTGTCGATTTTGTATCTTGTTCTCGATCAGGTCGTGGAAGGCAGTAATTGCTCGGATCAGACTGCTCAGGTAGATGGCCATCAATTGATCGTTGGTCTTGATGCTCATGGCATGTGCCAGCTCGCTGTTATTGCTAACCGGCGCGTCGACGCCGTTGGAGATATGTGATGCGGGTTTCGGGGTGGATAGGTTAGGGAGAAGGTTGAAGACATCTTGCAGGTTGCCCAAGATGGCATGGTTGACAGGCAGGGTTCCATCCAGGACCTTTTGGAGATATTGCCCAATGTCCCGTAATCGTAGATGCAGCCCTTGCAAGGATTGTAGTTGTGATGTGACACGTGTAGACAGAGTTCCAACAGCCACGTCTCGGATATCTCTCAGCAGATGCTCAACACCAATCTCCTCTGCCTCCTCAGCTTCAATGATTGAAGGTGTATGTACGAAAGTCTTGGATGTGGTGGTTCCGTCCTATGAATTATTAGCATAGATTCGTCCTCAGAGCGCCTCAAGTCATTCTCACATCTTTTATCTCCTCTACTGCGAAGTACGCATCCGTTGGCACCCCAGCCTCCTTCGGTTGAACATCGATGATTACGAGTAATGGGTTCGGGGTATATCTCTTGAATAATTCGTTGATTTCCAAATCCGAAGCTCTCAACTTAGGCCCAGAATGATACCACCCTATCAGCTTTTCTCGTGCGTTGATCTTCTTGAACATATCGTTCATTGACTCGACGTAGTTGTGATCAAGGAACCACACTGATGGATCCTTCTCCTCTTCTTCGAAAGGCACTGTAGTGGTCTCAGGATCAGTCATCGGGTCCCAAGGGCACAAACGTGCAGAAGAGAGAGGGCAAACTCACCAGCAAAGCTGTTTGATACCCGGACGTTCTTTCCATCGTTCTGTCCTAACAGAACCCCAACTACTCGTTTGCGCGTGCCCTTCGCTGAGCGGCCATAATGATCTGCCACGGAGAGGAGGACGAGAGGTGCTACAGAAACATTCCTTGTAACGAGGGAGAGGGTTTCGGCGGTAGTGGCAGGCATGATGAGGGTGGAGGGGAGGATGGTTGGGTTGTTTAGGATTTGTTGATCGAGGAGGCTGCTATGTCTTTCGCGGCTCTAGGTGCCTTGCGTACGGTACAGCAAGAGCTCGCCAATTGGGAATAGCGTATCACGAGCATCGCATCACGTGCTTGGACGCCAGAACCAGCTGCAGCTTTGTGACGGCAGAGTACGAGAAACCCGACGCGATGATACTCCCAATCTAGGTAGATATAGATAGTTGTGGGTGGAGTTTGTGCCCTTTTTATTTTATCTTTTATCTATCTTTGGTTGTCAACCGTCAAGGCCCACCGCCCTCTCCCTCGGCGTACTGGAGGGACGGGGATTTATCCGAAGCCCAGCTCGTTCAAAAGCCGAGTTAGCTTTGTCAAGCTGTTTTCGCATATTTACTACTCGGCCAACCTCATCCGCCTCCTCGAGTTGCCTCAACCCCCCTCTCCATTCTTCAGAACGGGCCATTTGCTCCCCATACACTCCCCCCCACACCAGAATCATTATTCTCGCCTTGGCCAGGTCTTCCGAAGCCCAATCCCTTCACAATGGCACCAATTGGCGACGACACCGTGCAATCGCTGCAAGAGATGGTCAACAAGCTTGAATCGAGGGTCAAAGAGCTTGAAGACAAACTCAAGCATACTTCGGATGGAACGAAGCATTCTCCAGATGAAGGAGTAAGGATGATTCTGATCGGTCCTCCTGGCGCTGGTACGTGTGTCTAGTCTCCCTGCGTGCGCCGAGGCATGAACTAATTCGCATTCGCGTTCTGCAGGCAAGGGAACTCAGGCACCTAATATCAAACAACGCTTCTCTTGCTGCCATTTGGTAAGCCTCTGCCAATAACCCCTGCGATATAGGGGGCTCTTCTGACCACACATAGGCTACTGGAGACATGCTTCGGTCACAAGTCGCAAAGAAGACACCATTGGGACGGGAAGCCAAGAAGATCATGGACCAAGGTGGACTTGTCAGCGATGAGATCGTTATTGGCATGATTAAGGCCGAGCTCGAGAACAATGCTGAGTGCAAGGGAGGGTATGTTCCACTTCTGAAAGCTGCCCATCTCTCAACTGACTGAGATTAGTTTCATCCTCGATGGTTTCCCTCGGACAGTTGTACAAGCAGAGCGATTGGATGAGATGCTGGCGCAGCGTAAACAAGCATTACAGCATGCTATTGAGCTTCAGATCGATGACGGTCTTCTCGTTTCGCGGATAACAGGCCGCCTGGTACACCCAGCCTCTGGTCGGTCGTATCACAAGGTGTTCAATCCTCCTAAGGAGAACATGAAGGATGATATCACTGGTGAACCACTAGTACAGAGATCAGACGACAATGCCGACGCCTTGAAGAAGCGACTGGTAACATATCACCAACAAACCGCACCCGTTGTTGGTTATTACCAGAAGACAGGTATTTGGAAGGGAGTTGATGCCAGCCAAGAACCTGGCCAGGTCTGGAAGAGCATCCTCGGGATCTTTGAGAAGGAGAAGAGCAATGGTGGAAGTCTGCTGAACAAAATCACTGGTCACTAAATTTGACCATTAGACTTGGGGTTTGAATGGCGGTCCAGGTTTGCATAGACGCTCCAAAAGTTTTTAGCACTGTTACGTGGGGGGTGCGAAGTGTTTGCCACACTCTGGATGGGAAGGCGACATGTACAACCACTTAGCACATGGATTTCATGCCGAGATAGGGGGACTCTATGTATACACTATACTCACGTTCCCTGTATTCTGCCCAAGAGCGTTAATGAAGCATGTAAGGATGAGTCCATGATCATCTATGGCCAGTATCCCCTATTCTCGTATCCCGTTCTATTTCTTTCGTACAAGCTGGCTACTTATCCTGGTAGGTCTCGTCGCTATCAGGTGTGAAAGGTGTACGGAGGTATTGTCAATTTATCGCACCAATGAGATACCATATGTCCTGGTCTATTAGAAGCTGCAGCATCTCTCTCCAGGACCAATTCCTCTTAGAATAAGAGGCATGATAGAAGTAAGTATCAAGGAGGCTCTAACGACCTGCCCTCTTATATACAGGTGCCTTAGACGATCTCAGTAGTATTAAGTAACCTCTTGGTCTAGGTAAAAGTCTCTTATACTTATATTTATTGATTTATTATTATGCTCTATATAAGCTAAGAGTATGTACAGAATACTACCTAGGTACTCTTGTATAGATTACTATCTCTAAACAAGTTGTTAGGATCTTACTTATGTACGCCTCTTTAGTTACCTAAGATAGCTTAAGATAGCTTTAAGTAACCTTAAGATAAAGTAGAGTATAGCTTAAGATAGCTTAAGCTTTCTTAAGAATATCTTAGAAATAGCTTAAACTATACCTAAGTTTTCTTAAGCTTTCTTAAGCTATATTAAGCTGTCCTAAGCTTTTTTAGACTTTTTTAAGCTTACTTAACCTAAGCTTTTATTAATAAAATATTAAATCTCTTAAGTAGTTAAGCTAGCTTAAAGCTACTAGCTTTATATAACTTAAGATAGTTTATTAACTTAAGTTATTATAAGTTAATACTATAATACTTAAGTAAGGTATTTGTTAGGGACTTAAAGGGGTAGGATTAGGAATACGCGGGCCTTACGTACTTGTAGGCACGCTAGGGCTACTTAAGGTTCTTAGGTAGTACATATATATCTTAAGGAGTAAGGAGTAAGAAAGAAAGGCAAGAATTAGTTTAGATTTAAATTAAAGTATACTACGACTTACTAGCTACTTGACTATAATTCTTTACTATATTACTTATAATACTAATCTCTAACATTCTAATTCTTCTTCTTATTAAAGAAGTAGCTTATTATAGTTATAGTACTTAGTCGTTTAGAAAGAGATACTTAGGGAACTCTTATAAAAAGAGCTACTAGTAAAGGAAACCCTAGTAAAGGAACTCTTACCCTAATATAAGTAAGCTATATAGTAGTTAGGTAAGAGTAGGATTAGAGAGTAAGAGACACTAGTAACAAGTTAGTAATACTTAGTTAAGTTAAAAGGCTATAAGCGTAACTTATAAAAGCCTAGAAACGTAATAAGGAACTTAAGTAACTAAATAAAGAGAAGGACAAGAAAGAGTATAAGGCCTAAGAAAGGTTACTCTAATAGCTTATTAAGAAAGAGTATATAAGGAGCTAGTATCTCTCTTTACGCCTTTACGTACCTAAAGATAAGGCTAGGGATACGATCTAAGAATAAGATAGTATCTATAATAAGGCTATAAAGTCTATAAGAAGATACCTAGTAACACCTCTAAGACTACTAGTATTTATAATAATAATATTATTATTATTATTCTTACTACCTATGTCTAATATATATAGAACCTTTATACTATATAAATTACGTAGTAAAACCGTACTAAAGCTAGGTAAAAACCTACGTACTACCTCTTATAAATACTCTATTATAGCGCTACTAGGGCGCTAAGACCTTATTACTACTTTACTAGAACTTAACCTTCTAGCCTAGTAATACTAAACATACTAACAAGACGCTAGTAAGACACTAAAAGGACGCTAGCTATTAACTAAGATTACTCTCTTTCTTTCTTAGTTAGGTAGCGCTTAGCTAGCCTAAACTATAAGAACCGGCTAGTAGATAGTAGCTAGTAGATTAGTACGTATACGCTCTTTTCTCTCTTTATTACTACTATAAAGTTATAGAACGTCTATAGTACTCTTAAGTAAAGTACTTACTATAAGGCCTGCTACTATTAGTTAAGCTACTAGTAGTTAAGGACTAGGTAAGCTACTGTCTTTAAGGCCTTACTATAAGGGTACTAGAGAGTTACTACCTCTAGTACTTTACGTTTAAAAAGAAAGGCCTAGAGCCTAACCTTACTAGTATAGATTTATATTAAAAGTAAGCTCTTATACTTATAAAAGAGTAAGTACTTCTTAAGGGTATTTACTAAAAGGACAGGTAGCGCGGCTAGGGTAGTACCCTAGTAGTACGCTAGTAAACTATTATATTAGGTCTATTATGTCTTCTAGTTCTCTTATAAGGTCTTCTCTAGTAAAGAGTCCTTATACTAGTCTTTTACTTATACGGCTCGGCCTACCTTATACTTAAGTAATGTATAAGGTAGTGTTATAGTAGCGTTATAGTAGTGTCTCTAGCGTTATTAAAGGCAGGTCGCTACCTTATTATAGATAGACTATATAAGTTTACCCTTACTTATACATTTAAGACGTTATTTAAAGTCTACTACTTACTTGTTAAGGTAGAGGTTAAGTAGAGGTATAGCTATTTTAGACTTAAGAAACTAAATAAGTGTTACCTAGTACGTCTTTATAATAACGTAAAGGCACTATAACTACTTTATAGTAAGGTCTTTTACGATCTTCTTAACTTATTACCTAAAGGGGTAGTACTAGACCCTTACGCTATATACTATAGCGCTCTAGATTACTTTTATATAGATCTCTCTTACGTATAGTAAGCTATATCCTTACGTAGATATAGTAAGCCTTATAAGCGTAAACTACTAGGTAGTAAACTTTTATTTAATAGTATTAAGGTAGCCCTTTTACCTAAGCTTCTAATCTATCTAAACTCTTAGAAAGTAGGCCTCTTAGACTAGAGGTATAACCTAGCTATTAAGGTAGACAGGTATCGTTAATATAGTATAAGTATAAGTAAGGTAAAAGAGCTTACTCTTTTTAAGGGTAAACTCTATTCCTCTTGTTTATACCTACTAGCTATAAGTCTACTACGCCCTTTTAAGGTACTAGCGTGTCTCTATTATATCTCTACTAAATACTAAAAGGTTAAGGTCGTTAGTAAACCCTACTATAATAAGGCTTATATGTCTTTAAAGTAGTGTATATAAGCTAGTAGTATAAAAGAGAAAGAGGATAAGAGAGAAGAGTAAGCCTTATAGTACCCTTATAGTAACCTCTTAAGGTAGCGCTACCTCTTTATTAAAAAAGAGGCTAGCTGTCTAATTAGTAAGAAAGCTATATACTTACTATACGGCCTATATAAAGAACCTTAGGTATTAAAGAGTATAAAGAAGGTATATATAGTTTACTATATTAAAGGCGCCTTTAATGTCTAGTTAAAGAAGAGACACTATAGCCTTATAGCTCTATACTATATATATAGCGTTAACTACTATTTTAACTATAAGGTCTATTAAGTATTATAGCTAGTTCTTTATCTACGTTTTTAAGAAGAGCCCTTACGACTTTATAACGTTAGTAAAGTACTAGCTAATTACTAACTTAATTACTTTGTTTATTATACTTAAGAGTAATATTAGCCTATAGGCCTTAGCGGTTTGTTACTATTTAAGGGTCTTTTTAGGCTTACGTAGTACTACTACCTTTACTACTTTAAACTATACTAAGACGTGCCTTAGCTAGAGGCTTATAGTTACTACTACTATAAGGAGCTTAGCTAGAGGGCGCCTATAGGCCTTAAGAAAGCTAGTAAGTAGTAGGTTAGGTCTTAGTACCTTTTAAGTACCTGTCTTTTAGAGAACGTTAGTAATATCTGCCTTTATTATAGTATTGTTAATAGTAAACTACTAGTACTACTTGTCTTAAAGGTCTAGAACGACGTTACTAAGATTAGCTACTAATTCTAAAAAGAACTACTAGCCTAATACTATTACTTTATTATAGTAGCTTATAGCTAGTACCTTTTTATTAGTACCTTAAAGAAAAGAGAGTAAGGCCGGTTTTAAGAGTACGTAGCTATAAAGCCTAGCCTACCTTTTAAGACTCTAGAGTTTTTATTAGTCTTTTAAGGTAGTAGTAAAGGTACTATACTAGCTCTTAGTCTTTATATCTTAGATTGTCTAGAGTTAGTAAGTACTAGCTTACTAGAGGTTACGCTAGTAAAGTTTAGTTAAGGCGATAGTATATTAATAGCGCGCTACCTACGTTTTTTAGACAGCCTTAAGGACCTTACTACTTTACTAGGGTTTAGCCTATCCTTAGCTAACCTTCTTTCTTAGAGTAGATAAGTCTATAATACGTATAAGCTAAGAGGTAAGTAAGTTAACTACCTTGTCGACCTTATAAGGTATGTCTAGTAGCTTAGAAGAGAGGTAGAGCCTCCTAGCCTTAATTACTACTAGCTCTTAGTCTATTAGGGTCTAGCTTTACTCTAGTACCTTTATAGCTCTCTTATAGTAATCCTCTACTTAGGTAATAACCTTAATTAGCTAGGCGTAGTAGTTAGATCCCTTGTACCCTAGGTTACCTTAGTAGGTACACTAGAGCGTTGCTATAGCCCTTATAATAATAATAGTTAAGTAACAACAGGCCTTAGCCTTAAAGCCTTTTATAAGTAAGAATATCTTAGAATATAATAATTTTATATATACTTATAAGATAGAGTTTTATATAAGCCTTAATATTTATATAATAAAAGAGAGTAAAATTATATACACTATACTATACTTAAAGAAAACCTCTTAATCTATATAGATATATAAAGAGTAAGAGTAGAGAGAAGATACTAGGACATAGTGTAGTTTTAAGAGGGTTATACTATCTTACTTAAGTAGCCTAAAAAC